CTTAGGGTAACCTGGGCATTACCTTTTTTTTTTTCATGCCTCAGCCTTCCAAAGTGCTGGGATTACAGGCATGAGCCACAGTGCCTGGCCCAATTCTTTTAGTCTATAACTAAGGATATTTTTGTTATAACAGCCCCAGTGCACCAAGACACAGACATAGAATGGGGAAGGCCATCCTGGGCCCATGCCCTGAGACCAAGTCTAGCTGGTGGGGCTGGAGTAGGGTGACCAGCTGCCCTGGTTTGTGCTAAAACCAGGGAAGGCCAGAGCAAGCCTGGCCAGGATGGGCCACTCGCCTGGAGCCAGAGGAGAGGAGGAAGCTGCCTGGCATGAGGTGAGACTGGAGGAGGGCAGGGGCCAGGCCATGCAGGCCTCATAGGATTTTATTCTGCGTGCAGCGCTCTGGGAGAAACACCTCCTGTGTGTCTCTTCCAGACAGTCCTAGGGACTGTTGCAACGGGGGTCCATGGAGCACTTGGGTCTGCAAGGTAAGACCCTGTCTATTAGTGTTTCCAGGCCAAATAGAGGGTCGGGCTGCTATTTCTCTGGCCCAATAACGAGATGCAGATGAACTGGGGAGGAAGGGAGGTTTTACTTCTATAACCAGTTACAGGGAAGAAGACCTGGGAAATATCGCCAGACCAACTCAAAATTAGTGTTCCAGAGCTTATATACCTTCTAAGCTATATGTTTATGTGTAAGTGTACCTTCATCTAAAGATATAAGTGATTAACTTCTTTTATTTATTTGTTTTTCAAGATGGAGTCTTGCTCTGTTACCCAAGCTGGAGTGCAGTGGTGCAATCTCAGCTCACTGCAACCTCCGCCTCCCGGGATCAAGTCATTCTCTTGCCTCAGCCTCCTAAGTAGCTGGGATTACAGGCGCACGCCACCATGCCCAGCTAATTTTTGTATTCTTAGTAGAGACAGAGTGTTACCATGTTGGCCAGGCTGGTTTCGAACTCTTGACCTCGTGATCCACCCACCTGGGCCTCCCAAAGTGCTGGGATTACAGGCATGAGCCACAGTGCCTGGCCCAATTCTTTTAGTCTATAACTAAGATCTGAGTCCTGAAGACCTTCCTCTGAAGCCTCAGTAAACTTACTTAATCTAAATGGGTCCAGGTGCTGGGGCGATTACCCTTATTTTGTCTCCTGCTAAATCATGGAGATTTGGGGAGTTCCTTCAGATCCCCGGTAAACTTGTTGGAGGAGGTCTGGGGAGTTTCTTCAGGCCTCCAATACAACTCGTTTAATCTTAAAACGGGTCCTGTTAATTCCTTTGTTATCTTGTCATGCTTCAAGGCCCAGGAAAGGCCTGGGCAAAACTCTTGATGGGCATCTGTTACATTCCAGCCTTTGTAGAGGGCACTGGTTCTATCAGCTTTTAATATTTAACTTCCACTGCTGAAACAGGTGTTACGGAGGCCTGCGTTAGTGAGACCTGGCCTGCCACATTAGTGCAGGGTCTGTCACCTGATTCGGAGACCAGCGTCTGAGCTGCCCTTCTTCACTGAGCCCATTAGCCCTTCTGTCTTCATTATTTAGGGCCACAACTTACCTTTTACTCAACAAAGCCAGAATGGGGCTGCTACCATAAAAACCCCGGGAATGGGGCCCAGGCGGCTGGCAGGGCCTCCTCCGAGAAACATACGCCTCGGTGTGTGGACCATAACTATCATTTACATTAATTAGGCAGCCGGATAATAGGGTGTTCAATAGTTACTGCATTCTGTAAATTCTGCAGCAAACACCGCCGGGAGCCAGGAGCTGGCAGGGGTTCGTGCCATGCAAAAAATAGTCCCGTTCTCACCCTGGCAGGCAATGGGGCTTTAAATTTATGGTGAAAGGAAGCCTTCCTCAAGTCCGGAAGAACAGCTGATATGGAGAGAGGGGCCTCGCCACATGACTCAGCCACTGGCTGTGTGATCCTGGGAGGATCCATCTCAGTGTCCTTAGCAGCCGCCAGTACTGACTACCTGGGGTTATTCTGGGGTCCTACCGAGAATGCAGCCATGGACGGGACAGGTGGGGTTTTATTGGCTTTTTTTTTTTTTTTTTTTTTTTTTTTAGAGACAGGGTCTTTCTCTGTCACCCAGGCTGGAGTGCAGTGCAGTGGTACAATCACAGCTCACTACAGCCTCAACCTCCCAGGCTTAAGTGATCCTCCTGCCTCAGCCTTCCAAAGTGCTGGGATTATAGGCATGAGGCACCGCATCTGGCCCAACGGGACAGCTTGGGAGAATGCCAGGGCTGGGAGCGGTGGCTCACACCTGTAATTTTTGGAAGATGATACTGTATTCTGTCGGAACCCTCCGAGTTTTGGGGTGATATCACGCACACCAACTTTATTCGCTGTGTTTTATTCCTTATGCTCATTTTACAGATGAGGACGCTAAGGCACGGGCGGAGGCTCACCCTTGACTGAACTCACGAAGCTAAGCCAGGCAAGGCTGCAGCCTGCCCAACACCCGAAGGTGTGCCCACACGGCTCCCCAGCCCTGCGACCCAGCTTTGCCATCTTCCTCCTCATTTCTGCCTGCCCAAGCGTGTCTCGCCACCTGCCTGCTCCCCTTTTCCCTGAGACCTCAGCTGCAGCCCCTGTCTCCTTGGCCACACTGGCCTTGTCCAGCAGCTTGGACGGCTGGACCCGTCTCCACTTGCCTAGCAGGGCTGCCACCGTTCGGGGCACTTGGCTTCAAGTAGACACTCAGATGGAGGCTGGAGGGGCTGCGTCCCCGAGGCCCTGTTTGTGGGTGCTGTGTGCACCTCTCAAACCCGTTTCCGTGCATCCCCAAGGCCAACACCCTAGTTAAGCCACAGACGTCTAGCACCGGCCACAACCTCCTCGCTGGTCTTCCGGCCCTTGGCCTCTCCATTTCACCGCCACTCTTCCCCACTTCCTGCTGCCCTGCCTGGTGCCTGAAGCCTCCAGCTACCTCTCAGTGCCACGCCCCTGCAGGCCCCTCTCCCCACCCCAGATCCCCTGCAGGAGGCCTCAGCCTGCCTGACTCCAGCTCAGCTCTCTGACTTCATCTTAAGGTCAGGTCCTGAGGGAAGCCAGCCCACTTCCAGACCTGCCAGGGGCCTCTGACACAGGCCCTGTTCCCCTCCCACCGCACCCTGTGGCCCCAGGGCCCTGTCATCACCACTCACTCTCTCACTACTCAATTGGAGACCTCACAGTGGGGGGCCAGGATGGCTGTGGCAACCACACTTTGGTGACAGGACTGCAGAGCACCTGGTCCCTGGAGGTCTGGGGTAGAGGAAGAGCCCGTAGTTTGAAAGGTGGAGGGAGCTGTTAAAATTGTGAATTTGGTGACATATTGCATTTCTTAGGAATGTGGGTTTCCTTGCTTTAAATCTGTGATTTTCAAGCAAGAGCCACTTAGGGTAACCTGGGCATTACCTTTTTTTTTTTTTTTTTGAGACAGAGTCTTGATCTGTCCCCCATGCTGGAGTGCAATGGTGCTATCTCAGTTCACTGCAACCTCCACCTCCTGGGTTCAAGTGATTCTCCTGCCTCAGCCTCCCGAGTAGCTGGGATTACAGGCACCTGCCACCATGCCTGGCTTGTTTTTGTATTTTTTAGTAGAGACCAGGTTTCACCATGTTGGCCAGGCTAGTCCTGAACTCCTAACCTCAAGTGATCCGCCTGCCTTGGCCTCCCAAAGTGCTGGGATTACAGACATGAGCCAACACGCCTGGCCTGGCATTACCACTAAGAAACAAGACTGCTGGAGAAATGCGCAAATAATTTCAGATATTTATTAAGCACCCACATAAGAGTCCAAATGGTTCTTCTACAAACATTTTAAATTGAAGTATAACATATGCCCTGAGAAAACACGCATCCTCCGTGCAGTCTCCCCTGCCTTAGCCAGCAAGTGCTCTGTCTCCAGCCCCCAGGCCACAGAGCCCCATCTTCCATGGGGCTAGGTGGCCCCCTAAAGATGACCCTTTAGCTCCTAGATAGGAAGGCACTGCAGAGATAGACCCTCGGTCTCCCCTGGAGTTCTGGTTCAAGGGGCGGCAACTTAACACTGCCTGTACTGCACACGGAGCAGCCGGCTTGTGTTTAGGGCAGTGGGATGCTGGTACACGTGTAAGAAGCCCTGGTTTGTAGCATAGCGTAAATTGCTATGTAAACGCTCCCACCAGCAGGGTTGCAGGGTGCCGGCATGAAGGTGCCATCCGCAGGAGGTGCACACATCAGCTCTCATGAGCCGGTGCAAGCCCCTCTGGCATAGCACCCGTTTGGGGCCTGTGTTTTTATAAAAAGCATTATAATCGCACACTTTTTTGGGAGAGCAGGGCAACTAAGGATGCTTTCCATCTCACATTCGCTGCAAGGCAAGCCTCCACTGGCAGCACTCTACAGGCAGGACAGCCACTGGCAGCACTCTCTACAGCGTCCTTTCTCTCTCCTTCCCTCCCTCCCTCTCTTTTGGCAGAGGATACAGTTTAATTTGTGTAGATGAAATGTGCCTGCAATAAACACCACACTCCATTTCTTCACGTTCTCTGTGGTTGGAACTGAAGGTCTTGGGGAACTTGGGCCTTGAACTTGGGTTTCCCGACTCGGGTTTCCTGCTGGGCTCAGCCTCTCCAGGCCTGGCTGGCTACGCAGCGCCAGCCATAGCTGCTCCCGCCAGACCCTGGGGCTTCATGGGGGAAACTGAAAGGGGCAGAGAAGCGTGGGTCACATGAGCTGCAAGTTGCAGCTGTTGATGGAGCGTAACCTCCTCGGTCTGCATAGCTGGGGTGCCAGGGCCCAATGGCACAGGGCTGCCTTACCACCCGGGACTCCTGCTGCCTGGGGTGCCCACTGGCATGGAAGGGGGTGGCACATTGGACTCAGGATGTGCTGCTGCCCTGCCCTAGGCAAACCACACGGACTTATCTGGCCCAGACGGGGGTCACTGACCAGCGTCACTCACAGTTGCTGTGTGCCAACCCTTATTCGACATTATCAGAGGCACACCCTGGGCTCATTTTTTCTTTTTGGGTCAGAAAACAGATATTTACTGAGCACTTATTATATGCAAGGCAGGGCTCTCCCCTGCGGGAGGCTTACAATCGTTATGGTGGCGAACACCATGGGCAGTGTCCCGGTGTCCGAGCAGCTCACATTCCAGGGGAAGAAAATGACACGAAACAGGCAGATGAGGTTGCACTGGGGACTGAGAAGCGGTACAGAAGACATAAGACTGCTGGATGCAGTGGCTCGTGCCTGTAATTCCAGTGCTTCGGGAGGCCAAGGCAGGAGGACTGCTCAAGGCCAGGAGTTTGAGGCCAGCCTGGGCAACACAGCAAGACCCCCAGGTCTACAAAAAACAAGCAAACAAAAATTAGCCAGGCATGGTGGCATGCGCCTGTGGTCCCATGTACTTGAGGGGGCTGAGGTGCGAGGATTGCTTGAGCCAGGGAGGTTGAGGCCGCAGTAAGCTGTGATCCCACTACTGCACTCCAACCTGGGTGACAGAGTGAGACCCTGTCTCAAAAAAAGGAAAAGAAAATATCAGACAGGGTAATGTGATCGAGTGACTGGTTGGGGTGGGGGCTGCAGAGCTAGGATGATGGGGCTTTCCCTGTGTGGAGAGCTGAACGCAAGGAGGCTGCCTGCAGACTGAGGGGTCAGGAGGAAGCCCGAGAGGAAGGAATGGCAGGCACAGATGTGCACGGGGCCAATCGCATGCTTGGGGGTGTAGAGAGGCACGGGGTGCAGTGGGGAAGTGGACCATGATGGCAGGGGTGGGCTGAGGTCCAATCTGGAAGGGCCTTGATGATGCCGGTCAGGGGCTGGCTCTCATTCTGCGTGCAGCAGGAAGTCGCCTGTGGGTTTTCAGTGGGAGAGGCAACCCCTGAGTCATGCTTCACAAAGGTCACCCGGGCTACAGTGGGTCCAGGCGTGGATGCAGGGAGGCCAGCGGGGGACTGTGGCTGTGGCTGGGTGCTGGCGGGTGGGTGGAAGGGGCTGGAGCAGCAGGTGGTGGGAGGTTGCAAGGAGGGCCACCAGGTCGTGATGAAAGGTTGATGGGGGCGTGAACGCAAGGGAGGAATCACGATGGCTCCTTGGTTTCCCACCTGAGCATCCAAGAGGCGAGGGGCCTCCGCAGAGGCGAGGATGGAGGGAAGGGAAGAGAAGGGAAGTCCATCGTGCTGGGTGCAGCCTGCCACGCTGGGCTGCCTGTTAGACCTCCAGGTGCGGCCTGGTGGACAGCTTTCTCATTTCCTCAACAGTCACAGAACGCTGAATACAGTCAGATACACTCTGGATGAGTGTGGGTATGGCAGTGAGGAAAACAGAGTCCTGTCCTTAGGAGCTTCCATTCTAGCTGGCAGGAGGCAGACGGTAAACCAAGTTACACATGTGGGTCTGGCGGATCTGAAGTTGTGGACGAGACAGCTATGGAGGGAATGGGGAAAGAAGTCCAAAGGCAGAGCTCAGGGCATTCTAACACTGAGAAGTTCTGCAGAGGAGGAGCTCCCAAAGGACCCCGAGAGGGAGCAGCCAGGGAGGCAGGAGGAAAGTCGGGAGTGTGGGGATAAGAGGTGTTAAATGGCGGTAAGAGGCCAGGCAAGGCAGAGGCGGAGAACTGACCACTGGCTCTGAAGAGACACAGTCACTTGAGTGACAGTGACTTAGTGGAGCGGTGGAGGCAAAAGAATGGAATGTTTTCTATTTCATCCCCGGCCTGTCCCAGCCAATCCTTCCCTATCCAATCCTGTTGCATCTCACCCAGTCCGTGCATCTATCCGGCGTTTCATGAGTCTCTGGGTGAGGTCCTCTATCCTCCTCCATCTCCCTCCTAAGCCAGTCCCTCCTCCAGGAGCTCTGATGGATCAGGCCACCTTTTCTTTTTCTTTCTTTCTTGTTTTTTTTAAGAGATAGGGTCTCATCTGTTACCCAGGCTGGAGTGTAGTGGCACAATCATGGCTCATTGCAACATCAACCTCGTGGGCTCAAGTGATCCTCCCACCTCAGCCTCCTGAGTAGCTGGGATTATAGGCATATGCCACCATGCGTAGCTCAATTTTTAAATGTTTTTTTGTAGACATGGGGTCTTGCTATGTTGCCCAGGCTGGTCTCAAACTCCCAGGCTCAAGCAATCCTCTTGCCTCGGTTTCCCAAAGTGCTGGGATTATAGGCGTGAGCCACCATGCCTGACCCAGCAAACATTTTCTGTAAAAGGCATAGGGAAGGGCAGGTCTTTGCTCCTGAGACCTGCCTCCTATGGCTGGAGGTTATCTTTTTTGGGCAAAGCAGACCAAGACACAGAATAGCTGAATCCCACTTGGGGCCTGTCCATTTCAATGCCCTCTAGGACAGCATCACCTGCCCTCCTGTGAACACAGCTTATCTCTGCGCCTGTCTATGAGGCCTGTCCATTTCAGATGCCCTCCAGGACAGCAGTGCCCGCCCTCCTGTGAACACAGCCTATCTCTGCGCCTGTCTAGTTAGCAAGGCTTGCCCTTCACAGCTCAGGAGAAATTACCAAGAATGTTATTGACTCTAATTTTAATTTGTCTAGCACTCTTGTTAATGATGTCTATTTAAGACATCCATTAAAGGCCCACGAGGTTAATTAAATGGACAATTCCAATACGGTTCTATTAGAACCCCTTCTATTAAATTAATATTATAGACATTTAACAGATGTCTTAATTAGACATTATAGCTAAGAAATGCAAACTAAATTAAAGCTAAAGGCATTGTCCAGAAAGCAAGTTTTTTTTTTTTTTTTTTTTAACAGAATTTATGGCTTTGTGGAGGGATGTTCCTGTTTACTCTTCGGAACCTGGGAGATCAGTCATTTGATGATGTTTACCAGCCTCCAGGAAACGTCGACCTGAGAGTCCCAAGTCTGAAATCACAGTCCAGACCTCAGAGCTGGAAGAGACTTTACACACCATCTGGAGCCCAGCGTCCTCAAACATCAGTGATCAGCTGGAGTCTCAGGTAAACACACAGTTGTCTGGGTCCCGCCTCTGGAGGCTGAGTCAGTAGGTCTGAGGTGCAGCCCAGGATCTGGCTGCTCTGAATGTGCACCCACTAACTCTGATGTGGGAAGTTCCAGGATGCCATTCCAGGAATGCTAATGGCCCCACTTCACAGATGGCAGCACCAAGATCCCCAAGACTTCAGAACTGCATGAATGGATCAGCAGAACTCCACCTCCTGCCCCATGGATTAGGGCTTTTCCAGCATCTCTGCCATCTCTCCACTCCTGACAGCCATATACCCCTTCTGGCCTCTCCTCCTGCCTGCCTGAGCCTGGGGGCAGACCCTCACAGGCTTCCCCTGCCTTCCTGGGTCCTCCACGATGCTTCCGCGGACTCCCGCCCCGAGCCTTGGTGTGAATACACTCTTCACACCCACAGCTGCCCAGAGCCGGAGTCCCTGCCCCAGGGAGACCTCTCTGCCCATCCTGCCCACCTGTGCACGCATTTCCTCCCCCATCCAGACTGTGCCTGGCCCCAGCAGGAGGAGGAGTTCAGCTGTTTGCAAAAATGAAGGGGCACTGGGCAGCCCTGGGTACTGGAGGCAGCAGCCCTGGACCCAAGTTCCTGTATGAGCATGTCACAGAATCCAGTGGTGATGGCAGCTCAGGGGCCAGCAGTGGGGGTGGCTGGACTGGCTAGTGGTCCAAGCAGCCCATATGGGGGCAAGAGAATGCCAGGCCAGTGTCTGAGGATGGGAGCCAGGTGACTGTTGGAGACTTTCTGGGAGGCACAACCAGTCTGTCCTGCCTGGGACAGCTTCAGGGTGGCAGTGGACTGACTTGGGTCTCCAAATTCATATGACAAAGCCCTTACCCCCAGTGTGACAGTCTGGAGACAGAGACTTTCAGGGGGTCATAAGAATAGGGGCCTAATCCAACAGGACGGGTATCCTTCTACAAGGAAGACTCCAGGGATCACTCTCCTTGTACACAGGGAGGAAAGGCTGTGTGAGGACAAGAAGGGAGAGGCCTCCCCAGAAACCAACCCTGCCAGCACCTTGATCTTTGGCTTCCAGCCTCCAGAGCTGTGAGAAAATGCTGCAGCTCCAGTGTGTGGCATTTTGTGATGGAGATTAGAGCAGACGGATACATCAGCCATGGCCCACACTGCCCTTTCTCCTCCAAGCACCTCATCCTTTCCCCCGAGGCTCTGGCCTATCCTCTGCAGACCGTGTGTGGCAGCTGGGCACTGGGGAGATGTAAAGGGCCCCTGGGCCCCACTCTTTGAACAGTGGGTCGCTGGGCTGATGTCTCCCAGTCCTGCAGCCTCTGGGTCCTGTCCTGAGTTGCTAACCATTCTCTCTCTCCTCTTTGGCACTTTCTCTGGTGCACGGAGGCTTACACGAGGAGAATGTGGCTCTATCTCCCACGAGACCACATGGCCAAGGCCTCAGCTCTGCCAGGGTCCTGCTCCTTGGACAGTGGACAAGGGAGAGATCGGGCCAAAAAGTACCACATCACCCTCCATGACAAGCTGTGCCGCAGTCCATGGAGACATGGCAGCCCTGGCCCCTGCCCCTGCCCCTAGGCCTCAGGTCACGTTTTCTGCAGCTGTTCCTCATCAGGAACCATGTCCTGCCAGGCTGGGCCCTCCCCTTTCCCTCCTCTACCTGGGAGATGACATGGCCCCTGGGTAGACCATGGGGGCAACAGTGTGTCCTAGAAATAGGCAGGCACAGCGGCAGCTTTGTGGCTGGCGAGCACCTTCGCCACGTCTCCTTGGGGGAGAGGGAGTGATATCTACAAATTAAACAGCCACTCACACAGAAACTTGAGTCTGCGCCAAATGAAAAACAGATTTCACATGGCAAGCAGTACCAACAACTTTTCTGGAAAGCAACTGTGTATTTACACAACAGTGGACGTCTTTTACATTGCAGAGGGGTGGGTAAGAGCGGGCTGGCTAGAAAGCTACAGCACCTATTCGGTTATGAACGCTGCACTTTCAGACGGCTGGGGGAATAGATGCCACTTCCCACTCAAGACAGGGATTTGCTCAGAGGGAAAGCAGGTAATAAAGGCAGCACATCCTGCACTTTAGAACCGCATCCGTCTCATCCTGCAGCCACCCTGTAGCTGAAAGCACAGTTCTGGAGCCCGACTATTAGGTCCAAATCTCAATTTTGCCCTTGAGTCAGCGAGGCCTTGGGCAAGGGGTCCCTTGAATTCTGTCTTCCTGTGGTAGACGAGGACGGCCACACCACAAGACAGTCGCTGGGCCGGGTCCCGTGTCCCTAGCCCGTGCGTGTGTGCATCACTGGCAGCGGTGACTGCGTGCTGCTTGGGGGAGAGCACTTGAGCCACCTCAGAACACCCTGGTGAGCAGCGGACACCTGCACCAATGGAAGCAGGACCGAGGCACCGGGTTGGTCCCTGTGAGACTCTGCGTGCATTGTGAGCCTTGGGGAGGGGCAGCGGCAGAGGCCTGGGCCTTTCTGCTCTCCTGGCACACAGCAGACAGTGTTCCCACTTCCCTTCTCCGCCGCGGTGTTTCTCTCTGGTGTGGTCTGGATGGAAGGCACCAGGAACGCAAAGCCCCAGCACTGCTGCTTCTCCTGGGGGAGAAAAGATTTGTGGCCTGCCTTTCGCCAGGAGGGCTCCTGGCCTTGCCTTGTTGATCGGCAGATACTTGCTCCTCAAAGGGAAGGAGTAGTTGGTCCTTCTGAGCCATGTTTCTAACCCATCTGGTAGGCTGGTCCCCTGGCCCACTCTCACTGCAGCCCTGGGCCCGCTCTTCCTCTGGCCCTGCATGGAAGGGCCTGCCTGACCCACTGGCTTTACAGACACACCATCAGAGGGCCAGAATCAGACTGAAAAGCCAAGTCTTTCAGCAGCAAAAATGGCGAAGAGATCAAAGGGCGTCAATGCTGCTGGCGTGGCTTTTGCAGGTCTGACCTTGGGAGGTGATGCCAGGCGACCTCCTTTCAGTCCTCCACGGCTCAGCCTGGCAGCTCAGGAGCGGGCACGCTGTGGCAGGTCCCATCTCACTACACTGGGGCGACTGTGTATGGGCACAGCAGCACACAGTGCTCTGCTCCTGGGGTCCACCCCAGCTGCAATTCCTGAAGTGAATAAGCCCTAAGTCACTTAGCAACTCACCCTTCAATCCTCTTCAACCTTCCTGAAATAGCAAAGTAAACCTTAGGTAGGCCAAAGAGTTCCACCCAAAGGCGCACCTCTGTAGACACCTGCCATCCAATGGACCTTTGGGGCCCCCCTTCCCTTTCAACCTGGCTGGACTGCAGCAATACCTCCTTTATTTGATCCCTGGTTATGTCCACATGTGTACTGTATTATCACAGAGGCAGCTGATTCACCATAGAGCACTCAGAAAACATGGAAAAGTATTTTTTAAAATCGAGTGATACTAGTCAAGTCAACCAGCGTTAACCCCGGTGTGCTTCCTGCCAGTCTGTTCCTCTCCATGGGAGTCACACAAAATGAAGATCTCCTAGAAAGAGAAATTCCTCTGTCCCCTGACTTCGTCACTCGGTACACCGCGACCTTCCCATGTTGTTGAGCATCCTCAACTCAGAACGTCACTGGCTGGAGGTGGTCTATAAACCGAATTGGCTTAACCATCTCTTCACTGAAAGGTTGGCATTTAGGAGTGTCCAGTTTTCAGCTGTCATAAACAACTGCGTTAGGTGGCAAAGAATTCACAGGTCAATCGTTCCCTTCGCTTTGAACTTCTTCGCAGACCGTTCACTTGACCGAAGCTGGAATTTGCTCCCGTAAATGTAGGAAATAAAGCCATCGATTTCCACAGTGAACACGCAGTTTAGCTTGGGGATAACTGGAAAAAAAAAAAAAAAAAAAAAAGGGCGGGAGAAAAAAGATGAGGAAAAATCCTTGGCAGTAAATATTCATTTATTTATTTATTAATATTTTACTTTTAGGTAGAATATTATTCGGAACACATTGAATGAAAAAAATAGGCTAATAGGAAATGGGAAACCCACAAGGGGAGGGGCATTAGGGTTACATGTGGTTATTCTGCCATAGGTCAATCTAGTCACATGCTAAATGTAACTTGGCACCTGATCTTCAGGGTAAAAGGCTATACACCAAATTCCCAGGACCAGAAAGTCCCAGAACACCCGCCAGAAACTGGTTTTCCCACAATAACTTTCAGATGGGTTCCTGGCCTTGTGCTCTGTGGGGAAACTCTTACACCACTTTCTGAGGTTTACAATGTGAGGCAGAAGGATATGTAGGAAAATAAGGGAAGCAACAAGAAAAACCAAGCTCAAAAATTAAAGGAAGAAGGCTGGATGCAGTGGCTCATGCCTATAATCCCAGCACTTTAGGAGGCTGAGGCAGGCGGATCACTTGAGTTCAGGAGTTTGAGACCAGCCTGTCCAACATGGTGAAACCCTGCCCCTACTAAAAATGCAAAAATTAGCCAGGTGTGGTGGTATGTGCCTGTAATCCCAGCTACTCGGGAGGCCGAGACAGGAGAATCCCTTGAATCCGGGAGCGGAGGCTGCAGTGAGTTGAGATTGTGCCACTGTACTCCAGCCTGGGTGAAAGAGTGAGACTGTCTCAAAAATAAATAAATAAATAAATAAATAAATAAATAAATAAATAAATTAATTAAATAAAAAAATTAAAGGAACAAAACCCTCTAACTACAGTTTGTTATCTCTGGATTTGTGAGCAAGGTGGGGTGTAGAAATCTTGGGAGACCCAAAGTATCTGCTAGAGCAATGCTGGCCACCGATGGAACCCAAGTGTTATCACCAAGGACACGGCTCAGAATTTCAGGGACAGGCGCCGCTCCTGTTTCTACCCTGCTGCCTGTTTGGCTACATTCCTCTGGGAGCAGCAGCCTTGGGGCAGGTGGAGGCCCTCTCCTGGCGCCCAAACAGACCCAGGTCCCCTGAGGCATGGCCAAGATCTTTCTTCCGCTTGGCCATTTCTGGCTGGGGCCGCTGGCTGCACTGACACACGCCTCTTGGGGGCGCCACGGGAGCAGAGGGTGGTCTCTGCAGGCTTTAATGCAGGTTCAGTAAGTATCTGCAATCAGTGCTCAAACCAAACCCTTGGAGCCTCCAGGAAAAGGCTAACGCAGTAGCTGGAAGCCACAGCCCACACGCAACGCCCTCGGAAACTCCTACATACCTTTCAGGCGGTCTTCTTTGGTGATAATTTTGAAAATGTGCTTTGTTTCCTGTAGAAGGATTCCTGTAACACCCACATAAGAGGGGCACTTGGATTTTGTCACTGTGAAGAAAAAGGACAGTTCCAGGCTCAGGCCTCTGTGGTGCTGGGGGAACCACAGACAAGCAGGCCTCAGGGGTCCGGGGTGCTGGTCCTACCCTCTGAGCTAGCAGATGAAGGAAGACAGCACCCAGGGCGTGGGGGCTCAACAGCTGGGCACTGACGTAGCCAACGAGAACCCAGGCTTCCCCTGGGGCTCTGCAGTCTCTGGACTGTCCTATGAGGTGTCCTTCGGAGAGTCTGTGGCCACAGCAGTCTTGGGCAGGATTCTGGAGTCAAAGGTCACACACGCGCCCAGCACCACCAGGACCCACGGGCTGGCTGCTCTGATGCAGCCAGGACTCCCTTGCAGGATCTGCACAAACACCACCATGCACTGCCCAGGATGCTGGCTGGAACGTGAGTCCTGCTGCAGAGCTGCCCAGCAGCCAGCACTGCGAGACGAGCCACCATCACAAGCAGCAGCCCCTCCCTCGTCCTGACCCGAGCCTCAGTGTAGGTGACAGAGTCACCAAGCAGCTGCAGTATGCCTGCACCGTCCTCGGGAGATGCCAGGGACATAGTATGGAAAGAGGCAGTCCCGGATCCTGCTCTCACAGAGCCCAGGTTCTAGCAAGGCAGGGTGATGCATGGTGAACCACACCATTCTACCTTCTGACAGTGACGAGTGCTATGAAGAGTAGGGACAGGGCAATGAGTGTGGAGGGTCATGGTTTGCAATGGTAGACCCTCAGGGGAGTGGCACTGGAGCAGGGCTGAACAATCGGAAGTGGGTCTGTGCACACACAGGAGAACTCCCCGGCAGAGGTAAGGAGCAGAGGCGAAGCCCTGAGGCAGGGCAGGAGGAAGGCAGTGTGGGAGGCCTGCTGCCCCAGGGAGCGGGGAGGCCTTCGACCACAGCAAGGAGGCAGGTTTACTCCCATACGATGGGACGCTGCCGGAAGACTTGAAGCACGGAAGGAACGTGCTCTGATTCCTATATAACCGGCACTCCGGCTGCCTGGTGCGGGGAGGCGCTGTGTCTGAGGTAATCTGGGGAATGACAGTGGCTGAATTTAGGTAGTAGGATGTTCCGAAGGATTAGAGGAGGGGATTAGGAAAGAAGAAACATAGACACTATTTCGGCTTTTGGCCTGAACAACCAGCGTAAATAACTGAGTAATTAACTGAGATGGAAAAGAGCAGGAGGGGTTGCTGTGAGAACTGGGGGTAGCTTTGGCTATGTAAAGTCTGAGATGACCCCTGAACATCCAGGTGGCTGTGTCAAGTGGGCAGCTGGATGCCTGAGCCTGGAGTTCAGGGGACGGGCCTACGCTGGAGACGTCACCTTGGGGGCTGTCAGGTGTAGCTGACATTTGAAACCGTAGCATTGGATGAAAGGGATTCTGTGTTCACGATTCCAGGCCATGGGTGAGTGCCCACAGCTACTGTGCCCTTTAGGGTACCAACAGGGGTCCCTGTGTGGAGAAGGTACACGGAGACCACTTAGGGTGTGTCCAGCAAATGGCCAGACCGGCTAAGACAGCCAGTGAGAAGCATCTCCCACCCTTAGTGCGGGGATGATGGTGACCGGGGCCCATCTCAGGGAATCCACACGGTAAGGAGCGTGTCCAGCAGAACACACGCCCTGGGTCTCCACAGAGCGACAGTGTGGACCTCTGGATGGCCATGTGCTACACGCTCTTAGGTAAATTACCTGAAATAATAGCCCCGTGAAGATCTGCCTTTAACAGCTTGGCCTGAATCATCTGTGGCTGCCTGCAAGGTAAACAGAAGCCCTTGATTTACATCATGATAAGAAGTTCCAAAAGAAGCAACTAGGTCTTCAACCGTAGCCAGGCAATACCAACGCTGGCTCCTGAAGCTGCATTTACAATGATCAGAGACTTGAGATCCACCCCAAAGAGCGAAGCTTCAGGAATGCAACTTACGTGTCTGGCTTTAGCCCATTGCACAGGTCCCTGATGTACTGTTTCCAGAGTTCATGGAGAGGGAGGAAAAGACTGTATCTGTGGCAGAGTCAGAAACGGAAAAAGTTAGACAACATGAGCTTGGGATGACAATGTCCAAATAGCACAGAGCTTGGCTTGATGCCAACAACTGCGGCCTGGGATCATTAGGAACTACGTGCAAATCTTAGGATGAGCAATTGAGCTGGTAACGGAGACCAAGAACCTTCACCTCTCTAACCTCAGTTTCCTCATTGGTAGGACCACACTAGCCCAGGGCGGTGTCCACTTGGACTTCTTTTCATGAGAGAGAAATAAACGTGAGTCTTGTTGAAGCTACTGTTATTGTGAGGTTTTCTGTTACGTGAAATTGAACCTAGTAAGCCCCCAGTAAAGCAGGGGTTGCTGGTTGTCACGCAGGTCCTCATGTGAGGCAGCAGGCTGGTCTGGAAGGTGGGCAACCAAGTGGTGGGGAGAAGAATAGGGGAGCAGGGGTGAGGACCCCAACAGCTTTCCTCTGGGCCGTTATCTCCAGTCTTGATGTCTTGTGGGGAATCCATTACCATGAAGCCTTAGGTTAGAGAAATGAGGACCTTAAGCTCAAACCCAGCTGGGGTTCCACCCGGGAGGCAAATCCTGGGAGGCAGCAGCCCCTTCTCCACTTGAGGCCCAGCTGATCTCCTGAGTGGGGCCGGGGACAGCGTGGCATACTTTAAGCTTTAAGGAGTGTGGGAGGCTATTTGGCTGTCGATCTCCAAGCAAAAACCTACAGACAGCCCCAGGACACGCACACTCAGACCCGTCGCCAAGAAGGGATGGAGGGTTGGCTGGAGGAAGGCATCCTCCCACAGGACAGGACAGTGATGCATCCCTTTGGGAAACTTCTGAAACGTGTGGGCAACATCTTGCTTTGGCAATGAAACCCCAGTGGGTGACTGTCTGGCGCTATTAAAAGCTACAAAGTGATACACACTAAAAACATATCAGTTCCTCTTTTCTGTCTAACAAAGCCGAGGGACAAACAGCCTGTTGCCATGGGCAACAGATGTACTTGGACGGATCTTACTCGTGAAGGTGAGGAGAGAGGCCAGACAATGAGTCCTGTCTCACCCGCTTCGCCGAACACAGCCCAGATTGGTAAAGGAAGGCTGCCCTCTTGTGGCAGACAACAGAGGGGCGCCCTTAGCTTAGGTGGAGCCAGGCTGCCTCCCCAGCGACTCAGTCAAGTCCACACACCCAGAAGGGTAAGCACCGCGGAGCTCAGGTTACCTCTGCTGCTCTGGTTTAATATAAAAGAGCCGCAGCTCCCTCCTTTGCCTGGCAGAGAGGCCTTTGGCTTTCTTCTTCTTCTCCTTGCGCTTGGGGCGGGTGAAGTACTCCAGGACCACGGCCTTGCGCTGCAGCTGGTCCTCGCGGGCCTGCGGGCTCATGCCGGGTGTGCTGCGCTTCAGGAAGGCCCTCACGAAGGCCTCGGCCCGCTGTGCTCCTGGAGGCTGCAGGCGGACAAGGGGGTGGAGTGCTCACTGCTCTGGTCTGGGCAGCCCAGGATCCCAGGCATATCGCCTGCAGCTACTGGGAGAGCAGATGGGGCCCATCCCTCCACCCACTGAGGCTCACACCCCGCTCATCTGCCATGTGTCTGCTACCCACAGTTGCCGAGATGTAAGTCACACTCACACACAAATTCATGACCGTTTGTCACACACAACAGCATGTCAAACGCTCACTTCCTGCTCTGGCCCTGCTTTTCTGAGGTTATTCTGCTGAGGACTAAAACCTTTCTATCTGGAAGAATACTTCAGTCATTCTTGGCAGAAGAGAAAGCTTGAGAAATGTGTAACAAAGATATTCAACCAGGCATGACCAGATGAAACTAAGTGAGCTCAGAGTAGCACTAAGCTATGGAGGAAGTGATCCTAACACTACAGAAAACAGCAAAACTAGGGCTCCAGGGTCAGCCAAGCCTCAGGGGGTAGGGACCCTGACACTGTGCCCTTGGGACAATACTCCTCAACTGGGTTTCCAGCAATGTGGGCACGGTGTGGCTACTCTCCAAGAGGTCCGCTCCTGCCCCGCAGACCATCACTTGGAGGAAAGTACCGTCAAGAGCATCTCAGGCCCCAGACTCTCTCTCTCCAAAGGGCGTCACTGAGAGCCGGGCGTCAACTTACCATGAATGAGCGTAGGCTCTTACAGAGGACTTTTGAAAAAATGACTGTCATAATTGTGTGCAATTCTCAAACAAACAAACAAAAACCTCCAAGCTCACTACCTCTCAAGTTGCAGTTCCAATAATGGATTCCTCATTTGGTGGCAGATGCCACTGCCCTCGCGCCTGCCACAGCCCTGGGCAGTTCTCTCTCCTGAGGGCCTGTCTCCTGGCTGGGCTGTTTCCTGAGCTTTTTGCACTAGCCAGGTGCTAAATGCTAAGACTGAGGCTGACAGACTGATGCTGATCTGTCATTAGTAACCCAGTCCTCCCTCTGTGGGAGAGCAATGGGAATGGGAAGATAGGGTACACATAGCCTTCGAGGGAGCTCACAATATGATGGTGGGAACTCTGTCTGTTTCAGTTTTGCACCTGTAGATGCTAACTAAAAATTAATTCACTCTCATCATTGTGACTATAACAGGACAATGATCTGATTCTCTTAAATACCTGAGTGGCTTGTCTTTCATGGAGAAGCAAAATAAAGGTATACTAGTCTTTCAAAATCTTGCTTTCAAGGTAATGCTCTCACTATGAGCCAAAAGAGGAACTTTTGCGAAACTGACAAAGCAGGCCTAGGCATCCAGATATAATCTGTAAATTTCACTTATGATATGTAATTGCACACCTTCTGCAGAAGTGCAGAGGGCACAGTGACAAGGTTGAACGATGCTGCTCACCACATGGGCACAGCCTGGTGTCCCCAACATAGTGGGAATGATAAAAGGTTAAGAAAAGCCTCATTTTACCAAACTTGACTTTGGCACAACAGAAAAGGAGGCCGGCAAGTGGGAACAGGTCATCAGAACTACAGACTTTGATCCAGCCTTAGATGTCTGCCAGAAAAATGAGGAGTACAATGTGGGAAAGGACATCTCAACCAGGGCTGGGGGCTCAGAAGCTACTGAGCCATCTTTGCCATCACCTCTGTTGCTCCTGGACCTCCTGCCAAGAACTGACCTGGACATCAGAGTCTTTCGCCTCTTTCTGAGACAATGCATGATAGATCACACCTAGAGGATTAAAAACAAGAAATGATCAATTCTTGTTGGGTATGGCTGTAAGACCCAAGACTTCTCTAACTATGAAAATAACTACACCGCTGGATGCATGGCTCACACCTGTAGTCCTAGCACTTTGGGAGGCCAAGGCGGGTCGAACACCCAGGAGTTCGAGACCAGCTTGGCCAACGTGGTGAAACCCCGTCTCTACTAAAAATACAAAAATTAGCCGGAGGTGGTGGCTCACACCTGTATTCCCAGCTACATGGGAAACTGAGGCAAAAGAATCGCTGGAACCTAGGAGGTGGAGGCTGCAATGAGCCAAGATCATGCCATTGCACTGGCCTGGGTGACAGAGACTCTGTCTCAAAAAAACAGGATCCCAGGCATATCGCCCGCAGCTACTGGGAGAGCAGATGGGGCCCATCCCTCCACCCACTGAGGCTCACACCCCGCTCATCTGCCATGCGTCTGCTACCCACAGTTGCCGAGATGTAAGTCACACTCACACACAAATTCATGACCGTTT